TTTTTGAATTTCAGCGACGATGTTTGTTACGTCTTTTTGCATTACAGTTACGATATTCATATACATACCTTGTACAAAGTAGAGGATATACATGCGCGTTTTTGGTAATTTCCTTCTCCATGAAAGAAATTATTTTGTATTAAGTGCGGATCATAATTTTACATCAGTTGGAGCTAATTACTATAAAGTATGTGGTTAGTTTTGGATCCGATTTGGCAGCAGCCTATATGCTTGAAATATGACTTCGAAGCCGTTAGCGATATCAGCATTTGTACTAAAATTAGGTCTAATCCCGAACATACAACTTTTTACCGGGCTTTACAGATTTTTTTAACTTGTTTTAGCGCCCTTTTTTAATTTTACAGTTTTTTCTAGATTTAGTCCGATAAGTACGAGATCAGGCCTATTAATGGCTAAATAGCTGACTAATGTATACAATGCAACTAACATATAATTTTTTTACAACAAATTTTAAATTAAAGATTTTATGAGATAAAACATATAATTTCTAAATGTTTTAAACTCTCTCAATAAATCGTCGGGCACACAAATAGTGCTTAGTGCACTAAACCTAGATAGGGCGTCCTTCAACCAAATTCTGAGATAGAGCGTTTTCAATAAAATTCTGAAGTAAGCCGTTCTTGAAAAGTTTTTTGAAATAGGGCGTTTTCTAACCGGCTGCAGAGATAGGTCGATCTTCCACTCAGCCGTCGATATATACTTATACTCCAAAAATCGCTCTCATTTTCAGGATTTTGGGGGAATTTGGAGTACGGGATCATTTTTCCTGTAACTTCCTGCAAGTGCGTGTAAAAACCGGTAAGTCTACGGAGTACTGGATCAGAGCTTAAGTCTAAGTGGCAAGTGGCTACAAAATACCGTTTTTGATCATTTTTTTTTTTTGCTGACAGTGTCACGCATTATTTTCCATCCTTTGTACATATGTTCGAAATTTATTTATTATATGGAAGGGAATGGCCAGCACCATTAACAAAAAAAAACAAGTAAGAGCAGCGCTGTCTTCGGCTATGCCGAAGGCTTCATACCTTTCATGAACATCTGCAAATTTTAGTTTGACAGATTACTGATTTTGAATACATCTGCATACATCGATAGAGGAGTTACATACTTATATAAAAAATCGCATCTAAACAATCAGAGGTATGGAAGATATACTTTATATGGCACCAATCTAAGTGATTTTCACTGCTATGTGATCGGTATGTAAACCGGTAACACAATTTATTGGGTTTAGTTTCCTACATAAAGGAGATATATCGCAAAAACTAGTATCTGAACAATCAGTGCTATAGGAGATAAAGCTTATACAGCATAGATTTTGACGATTTTCTCAGTAGACTTTGTATTATTATTTATAAAATATCTTACGAAATTTATCGGTTTTAGCTGTTCAAATAAAGGAGTTTTACAGTAAAATCCCAAATCTGAACAATCAGATGTATGGAAGATATATGTTGTAGTCACCCGATCCTTGTTATTTTCACTGTACGTATTCTGTTAATAATGAGTGAAAATGGTGCGAAATTTCATGTTCCTAGCTGCATAAATGGAGGAGATATGATAAAAGACCTCATATCTGAACAATCAGTTGTATGGGGGCTGCAGGTTATAGTGACCCGATCTTCGTTATTTTCACTGTAAGTCTTCTGCTGATAATGAGTGAAAACAGCGCGAAATTTCATGGTCCTAGCTAAATAAATGGATGAATTATAACGAAAAATCTCATATCTGAACAATCAGTTGTATGGGAGCTATAGGTTATAGTTATCCGATCTTTTTAATTTTCACTGTAAGTTTTCTGTTGATAATTATTGAAAACAGTGCGGAATTTCCTGTTCCCAGCTTTATAAATGGAGGAGTTATAACGGAAAATTTTATATCTGAACAATTAGCTGTATGGGAGCTATAGGTTATAGTTACCCGATCTTTGTAATTTTCACTGTAAGCATTCTGTTGATAATGGGTGCAAGTGCTGCAAAATTTCATGTTCGTAGCGGCATAAATGGAGAAGTTATAACGAAAAATCTCATATCTGAACAATCAGTTGTATGGGAGCTATATGTTATAGTGGTCCGATTCTTCCGGTTCCGACAAATGATTAATACATTATAAAAATACACCCACCTACCAAATTTGATCCGGATATCTCGAAAACTGAGAGACTAGATTGCATACAAACAGACGGACAGACGGACAGACGGGCAGACGGATATGGATAAATCAACTCAGCTCGACGTTCTGATCATATAAGTATACATTCTAATGGGTCTATCTCTTTTTGTTCTGGTACTTACAAACATCGGACCAAAGTTATAATACCATTTCATGCTCATGAAAGGTATAACAACAACGGTATTTTCTAGCCAGTTGAAACTTCCACTTCATTACATCAAAACTGAATGGTCTATAAAAACTGCATCAAAAAAATAAATAAATAAATAAAAATTGAAACTTTGGTAAAAATTTGGTGAATTTTTATGGAGTTATGTGTGTATATGGTGTTTGTTGTTTAACTAGCTAGACTTTTATAAAAAATAATTATTAGAATTGAATAAACCCCAGACACATATAGCCGAAACTGGTAAAAATTAGGCGAGTCTATTATTTCTGCCACCAGTATAAATATATACATACGCACATATGTTCATACGTACAACTATAACTCCAAGGAAGTAAATAAAATTGTAGTATTGTACGATTTTCATAGTCCGATGACAATGTGCCGGAGAGGCCCTGATTATTATTGTGTAGGTTTTTAGGTGATTTTATGTATAATATTACAACAACATGACATGCACGTATATACAAAATAATTATATTTGCAAAATGTTTTCCTCAACTAATTTATACATTCAAGTTGGTATCCGTTTATATTTTCAATAGAAAATAATTACACATATAAGCATAAGGAATTAGTTGGCTTCCGACTGCTGCAGCGTCAGAAATTTTCAACAAAAAAGTTCACTGGGTGGTAAAAACTATTTGCAAATTAAAAACCGTTTTATTATTTATCCATGTTATATCGTATAACCATAATACGAAAAATTAGTCAACTTAATGCACAGGAATGTGAACTGTGGTTCAGCGACTTATTTTTTT